TTCTTCATTTCCTCTGGAGAAGAGAACTGTTTCCCTGTATGATCAAAAGCACCTGTCCGGAGAACATATTCGGTGCTTAGTGCAAGAGAGTTAACCCAATGACCGTGTCCCTGGCACAATACCGGATAGAAACATAAGATGACACTATGAGCAACAACTGAACTAGGTCTAACAAAATAGGACCAAACCAAAATGTCAATCAGGTTTAGGAGAATGTTAAAATTGAGATGGCTTATGACTAATTGAATATAACAGTTACAAGTTCTTTTAAATTTCTTTTTTCTAAAAGAAGATTAAATTTCTATTGTAACTGATAGATATTTCGACTCATAAAGCAACAAAATAACCCTCGAGTGAACTCTCAAAGTCAAATGATCCCAATAGGAATGAATAGCTTATAATGTACCTTCAATTCACGTATTAGTTTTCCTTGCTTAGTTTCCCAAACCTTTATAGTACAATCCTGAGAACTGGGGCATTTGAAAGAAAACATGTCAATTTCAGAATACAGAAAAATTGGAAGTATCAATCAGTCTCCAGAAAGTTTAAATATAGCTTAATGCCAAAATCAGATCATTATCAATCATTGACTGCATAGGCATTGAATGCTACTAAGAGTTAGCTTTTCAATAGACTGAAAGAAAACAGAACTTTTGGCCTTTAGTAGCATAATTTTACCCCATGGTACCAACTGAATCTAAACATGCAGAGGTATGAAGAGATTTCGTTTATTATTAGATGTAAGACAGTAGAAAACGCACAAGTACACTGTACACAGATGTTCAAACTCAACAGCATCAAGAATGCTAGAATGCTTCTGTAGTGGCTCCTCTATCTCACTTTTTTGTTTCATTTTTCTTTTTTTCTTTTTTTCTTTTTTTTTCTTTTTTTTTTTTTTTTTTTTTTTTTTTTTTTTTTTTTTTTTTTTGTTTTCAAATTCAAGGAGAAAAAAAAGGAAAATAAGCATACCCCGTATATATAACTCCATCTCCACCCCATTTGACACAAGTTATTGCAAGAGTATGACCACTGAGGCATATAACACATTTTTTCAATGAAACATCCCATATGCGTGCATCACCATCCTTGCTAGAACTCACAAAGCGACGGCATGGTGCACTTAGATGCAAAGGTTCCCACGAAACACCAGTAATCCATTTTTTGTGGCCCTAGAACATGAATTTCAAACATTATTAATGATTTCACATCGGTAAGCCTATAAATATATATAATCATTGTTTAGGCATTGAAAAGTAATGACAAATGCCATAAAGATGGTAGATTTTGTCCTTATCAACAAGTAAATATAACCAGTATTTTCTACTTTTAGGAAAAGAAACAGAATGGTGGCTTATCAACCACAATGAATAGGACAATCTAAAAGCCCCGAGTAGAGAAAACCCTGCCCACAGAGCTACAAAAAAATGGCTTTCCAATCACAAATAATCATTAATCAAGAGAAGGTTGTAGCTACAAAAGAATTTATTGTGGTTTAAGCATTTTAACGTTTACATTGTATACCATTGCAAGTATAATCAGTCTTCTAAGTACTGTTCACCACAGAGAATATGAAAACTGTTTTGCTGACTAAAAACCAAAAACATCTTTTTAAACATGAATAGAACAAGCTATGCAACAAGCTACAATAAGTCGAAAATTTGATACTTAATGTGTCAAACATTTTTTATGTCTATAAGTGCCTAATCTAGCTCATCCACACCTTGGCTAATTTCATGAGACAACACAAGACTTTACAATATTGGTTGTCAAGAAAAATATGTAGGATTTTAAATTATAGATAGGTGGCCACCATGGTTTGAACCTAGCCCATGGCATCAATCAACTTACAGAGCATTTAAAGCATATGGACAAATGAATAAGATTCAATATCCACACAATAATAAAATCATGCAGTTCAAAACTATCACTCCTACAATATAGCATACCCACATACTCTCATTTTATATTGCTTCAAGAAAAAGATATTCCAATTTGACATAATTTTTTAACTTAAGATGTAAAATTTGAAAGTAAAAGAGTACCTAGGGTTGCACAAACAAGCCTTCTCAAAGAGAAAAAAAAAAAGGAGGATAAATTGACTTAAAACTTGAAAAGGAAGGCATCAATCTATAATGGTTAAGATAAGGCAATTCAATTTGTTCCTCTAAATTCTACTTTAAAACTTGAAAAAACCACCGGTGAAATAAAGAAAAATATCAAACTTTAGAGCAATATTACTCAGAAAAAAATAGCACACCATACAATTTTAAAACTTAGAAATCGGATTTTTGTTCAGCTGGTTTGACTCTTGGCAGGGCGAATAGTCAACAAACTAAACAAACATTTCAAAAGTACAGTCACATAGGGGGGGAAATCTTTACAGTGAGTGGATTGCCCAATGGCTTCCCTGTCTGTGGATCCCAGCAAAATAGTTCACCAGCTTTACTCCCACTTACAAGATGCTTCCCATCCGGTGACCAGGCAATAGAAAGAACCCAATTTTTATGCCCTGGGAATTGAGAGGAATATTTTCTGATTTTAGCTTGATACAGACACTATAGATATTAAAAGACGACAAAGCATCTTCAGTTGCTCCCTAGTTAAAGAAAACACACACAACAAAAAAGAACAAAAACAAAAGCACAGCATTTTTCAGACCTCCAGCAGTGCCATACTAAACACACAAACCTAAAACACTATGAAACACGGGAAACAGACATCTTTAATCCTCTAGGGATGACAAAATATATCCATATCAGATAACTTGGAAGTAAAATTTTAATTTTTAAGAAAGAAAAAAGTTGAAGTTAAATTGATTTGATTTTCCTTTCATGCTCCTATAAAAAAAATTTAATTTTGGATCTAGCATATTAAACAGCTTCAATGTTAGGCTAAAAATTTAGCTGCAGCATTGTGTTTCTAACCTGTACAGGTGAACAATGGAGTTTGTGTATTAAGGTCCCATAGCCGAACTGTAGTGTCGCCAGAACCACTTGCCAACTGTCGCCCATCAGGGCTAAAGGAAACAGAAAGAACAGCTTCAGCATGACCTGCAACGAAAGTACAATGGAGTGATTAAACCTTCCAAGGATAACGCATGTAACTAAAAAAAGAAGGAAACCAAAATGTACCAGAAATTGTTGCTGAACATCGGCTAACAGGACGTATGCGGAATACTGCTTGTGGCTGATAGACTACAGTAAGCACTTTCTCAACAGAAACTGCAAAGATGTTCAAGAGAAAAAAAAACTAAGCCCCTGTGAACCATAAAAGTGAGTTTCACCAACACATGAATGTAACCAATGGATAAGTCGTCAGATTTTTCAGGCACTATTTGAGGAATCAATAACCTTTGTTTTTCTCTAAGTAGGCACCAAGAGAAACTAGAAGCTCCTGGTCAGATATGTAAAAAGCATACGGTAGCTTCTCCTCCTGAACAATTCCAGAACAATTTATTATTTCGGTATCATGCAACTACCATGTAAAACAACAATTTTCATGACTGAATCAATTGATTATAAAACTGAAGAATTTCGGAGGCTGAAATTTTAATGGAGAAGAAAAAATCATTAAACGATGCTATGATAGATTTCACCATTGAAATAAGAAATTGGCATGACATACACATGGTATTCGCTCATTCAAGATTACAAGAAGCTGAATTATCAAGCTAAAATTCATCTTGGAATAAGATTTTTCTCTACTAATTAGCAACCTTCGTATTACATCATTTCAGAGAAATTATAAATTACCAAACCATTGTTTTGACCCTGAGTACTTATTAATTCATTATTTTCACATTCCTTCGACCCGGAAACAGGAAACTCTTAAAACCAATTCAAAACAATCCAGCTTACCAAATATCGCTTGATAATCAAAATTCACATAAATTCACTACTTCCAATTCAATTTAGCACTTCCTATCAACGATCAAATAATTAAAAAATTTAATTTCCCCGAAACTCAATTGTTAACAACTTAATAGGAAGAGAAAAGAAAACATTTCTTTTGCCGAAGCTTACATTGCTGAGAAGCTTATTGACCATCTGCTGAAGCTGCTGAGGCCCTGCATTTTGGGGAAGGTACATGGGAGCTCCCAAAGGCGTGCCTTCAGGGTCCGTCAAGAGAATCATGACATTGTTGATTGTTTCCCTTTGCTCTACATCCATCTCCGTAGCCATGCGTGCCTTACTTTCAAGCAACAGCGAAATTCAGGAACGGAAGAAGGGAAATTCGAGTATGATGTCTCCCTGCAAAATTGAAGCAGGCGTTTATGAGGGTTTTGGGTTTTAGGGTTTCTGGGTCGTCTTTTTCTTGTACTTTTTAAAGGGTTTTTTCCCTTCTTTTCCAAATATTCTTTTTTGTTTTAACAAAGAGAATATATATATTATATTTATATATTTATATATTTGTGGAAGTTTATTTCAACTAAATTTGTATTAACGATAAAATAATAAAGATATACAAATTTGAAAATGGTAATATTTATATTATTTATATTACCATATTATCGATATAAAAATCATAAAAAAAAAAATGGTAATAGTTTTGTAAGAAAAAAATAATATTTAGATAACTTACAAAAATAATTCTTTATATTAAAAAAATATTTACGTAATATCTATATAAAATTCTAACGAATTTCTACTACACAGGGGCACAGCGTGTGCCCCGAAGTACAGTCTAATTTATTTCTTTATTTAATCTTCTGAAGTATATTTTAGTTAATATTTCATTTGATCTATGAGTTTCAAGATCTTATCCATTTGTCTCTCGGTTTTATGTCAATGCTCACCATTGTTTATACCGAACAAACATTTTTAGAAAATTACTAAAATTCATGCCTAAGCCTCGCTATAATTTCAAATGTGGTATCCATTAAATCGTCAGCATGTCCAGTGGCTATTCAAAATCTCAATATTAGAGCAACTATCTATCAATAATTCAAAGGATTTCATACTGTTCTTGATCGAACTCTGTTCATCACGGTGCTAATAACGTGTTAAAAAGAAACTCATTTATTGGATTAAAAGAACAAACAAGAAATTAAGCCAAAAAGAAGTAAAAGAAGCTCTAGAATGGTTAAATTAAGCAAAAACTCTCCACAACTGAGTAGTAGCAGCAGCAAATAAGTTACTTCTCACTGGCTGAAAGTGGCTTCCGGGCCAAGAAGAAATACATTGGTGTGAATATCTCTTTCCTGAGTATTAAGAGAAGCATCGTATGAGCGGCGTAGACGAGTTAAACGAACGAACGTCATGGATAAAGTATAGAGGCATACGACATGCTTTCAATTGTACTTAGGACCTTAAAGACACTATGCACAAGAAAGAGTTCCACATTCAATCAAATTCTCTCTTAATCTACTGCATGGTACTCTCGCTTACCCCCCGGAGGTTCTCTTCTTCAAGCAGTTCAAATCTAGATTTCTGGGTTGGGGAGACAAGCGAAGTACTTTATAATGGTGTAGAAACCTCTCCCTGGCAAGATGCGTTTTAAAAATCTCGAAAGAAAGCCCGAAAGGGAAAACCCAAAAGGACAATATTTGCTAGCAGTCGGCTTGGATTGTTTCAAATGGTATCAGAGCCAAACATCGAATGATGTGCCAGTGAGGAGACTGAGCCCCAAAGGGGACAAGGACGCTAGACCCCGAAGGGGATGGATTGGGGAGTCCTACATCGATTGGAGAAGGGAATGAGTGCCAGCGAGGATGCTGGGCAACGAAGGGAAGTGGATTGTGAGATCCCACATCGATTAGGGAGGAGAATGAAACATTCGTTATAATGGTGTGGAAAGCTCTCTCTAATAGACGCATTTTAAAAATCTTAAGGGGAAGCCCGAAAAAAATAGCCTAAAGAGAACTATATCTACTAGCAATGGGTTTGGGCCTGGGCCGTTTCAGTTTCTTTTACTAACCAAAGAACTTATATCCCACAGAATCATGGACATTTTCAACTTTTGAGGTAAAAAAAAGACAGAATTTCAAGAGCATTGTAAAGTATACTCACTTTCCACCCTCAACTAGCCCTTCAGCAGCTTTCTCTAGAAAATCTTGAACTCTTTGGCTACCCTTGGGGGCAAGTCGAACGAACTCCAGTACTTTGACCTACAAAACGAACCGACTCAGTACTTGTTAACTTCATCCCGAATCTCCCCGAATAATAAGGTTCTCCTTGGCGTTACATATTCGTCGAGGTCACATTTGATAAAACGTACCATATTTTTAGTAATGAAACGACCAATGGCTGTCAGACGGAAGCTACTCAGTGAGAAATGGCTTTTGTCTAAAGGCAAGTACCACGGAAGAGGCGAATTTACAGCAAGATCTCTCTCCCAAACGACCTGATGTCACGTGCCCATGATTACGAGATCATTGCTTTATAGTTATAACGACGTCTCTCATTCATTCATGGCAATATAAACTAATAGTATGAAGTCATTTTCCAACTAACCTCAAAACCTGCTTGTTTTAAAGCTCCGAGGCATTGTCCTGTCAACCTGATATCTGGAAGACCATCGCCAATCTCAATTTCCGCCTGCACGATTGGAACTTGGGTCAATGTAGTTCATATAGATCAATCAGTGTGGTGCAATAACCACATCGGTCGGGGAGTAGAATGAAGCATTCTTTATAAGGGTGAGACGCATTTTAAAAACCTTGAGAGAAAGTCCAAAGAGAGCAATATCTGTTAGCGGTGGGTTTGGGCTGTTACAAAACGAATCTTACAAATAGAAACGACGAAGCCAAAGTACCTTTATCTTTTGATGTTCTTGATTATTTGAATCAAAAGCATCAGTCATGCACCATTCATAGGCAGCAAAATGCTGGCCAGGCTTTAGCACTCTATATATCTCCTTATAGCATCCATACTACCAGACAAAAAAAAAAAAGAAAGTCAAATCAAGATGGCTCGGACACGTACATCTCACCAAACGATACTCGAGCTAGTTCAACAGCAAACTGAAAGTCACTTGAGGATGTATTTAAGACTCACTGCGTCGGGTGCATGACAAGTAGCTTCGATTGCATATACTGCATCAAATGAATTGTCAGGGAATGGCATCTTCATGAAGTCAGCCTGTAGCACGGCGAAAACGAATGAAGTATTAACCTTCGAAACATAACTCTTGTACGCTAAAAATACACGAGCAAATTAAAATTGTAATCTACTTAAAAACCAACCTTGACAAAGTCACAAGTCTTGTCCACTTTGGCAACACGATTCAGTTCCTGACAAAGTACAAATACCTTATTACAAGAGCTTGATCGGAACACAGACTAGTAATTACGATGAACGAGGCAATGAAAAAAAGTAAAAAACAATGTTCCTGACATCCTTAATCAAAGGATTAGCTGAAAGAAACTACCTTCCCTCGTGAAATCTGGTACTCGTTGTTGTTCAATCCAGTAACGGAAGTATAACTGCAACCGAGCGTCGTAGAATGATAGAATATGAGATACTAACCATACGCACAATGTAAAACAAAAGGTACAGGACTATATATACTCGATCCACTATCAAAGTGTTCGATCGAGACCGTTAACAACGCAGTTGTTTTAGCATTAATCGTCAATCAAAAGCAAAAAGAACTCGAAGTCAGCTAATGCATCACACCTAAATCTCGCAATTTCTCTAAGTGGTCCACCAATTCCACATCCAACATCCAACACCTAGAATATAAACAAGTTATTCCCCGTAATTTGAAACGAACGGAGAAAAAACCTCCACCTTCGTATAAAAAAACACGAACCTTATGTCCAGGTTTCAAATCCAATTGCAAAGCAAGGAAGTGCTCATGCCTCTTAATGCTCTCCCGCAGAGATTCACCCTTCCATCTAGAGAGGAAAATATGCAAGTTCATATTCAAGACTGCAAAAACAGAGACACATTCGGATCTGTTGAATCGAGGAGAGCGATAGTACGTCATACCGAGGTGCGAAATGGAAAGACTCGCCCCAACCGAACTCGTAAAAACTCGTAACGAGATCATAGTACTTATTAACCTGTAGTAATTCATATTACACAGCCTTATAAACGATAAGGAGGGCGGTCCAACTACATGGAACTATCAAAAAGAAAGATCATGAGAATAGCAATCTACTCTAACCATGTCAGTGTAGTTAGCTTTTCTTTCCTCCTCTTCACCTCCATAACAAACATGATATTTCTCGTACCTGATCCAACAATGTAACACTTTAAGAACACAATTCAAAATCAACAAATCAGGCTAAATCCTCATCCAACATTGTACATAATCATAGAATCCTCTGTTTTCATTCAAAGCATCCACATCTAAAGCTAACAAAAACAGATCAAGGGGCCATAACCCAATTTCACCAAGAAAAAGATAAGTACAGAACATGCAGAAGCTTAGACGTAGAATTCAAACTAGATATCACAAAAACAGAATGAGCTAGCTCGTTTAGTTCGTCTGAGTAGCCCAAAACACAATCAGATACATGATTTGATTTCGAAGTTGGGAAGTGTATTAACCAAACGAAAATCTATCTGGGGAGAAATTTTGGGGGTAAAAAGAGAGGGAATGTGTTACTTTTCAACGGCGGAAAGGACCTCGTTCTTGTCCAACTTGCCGCCAAGGCCCGACGCAAGATCCAACGTTCCAGCTTTCGACATGGGTATGATCAAAAGCGGTGTATGGAAGATCTAGAACAACAATTGAAGCAAAAGAAGAATGAGAATGAAATCGAATGAAGTGTTAGAGCATTTTAGTTTGAAAACGTGGGTGTGATTCGTGTTGAGCATTACGTCGAAGGCCGAAGAAGATCCAAACCCAGAAGGACAATTTGATGAAAATTGGATGAGGAATCTTTAAAAGAGCAATCAAAATGGTGAAGCCGGACGAACAAACAAACAACAAGCAACAAACAAATGAAAAAAAATACAGAGAAATGATGACACGCAGAAGAAAAAAGCAAAAAAAAATAAAATAAAACTCTCTCTGGTGCTCGTGAAGGACAGCGCCCACTCCACGTTTGAGCTAAAATAAAAATTGTAATGGATAGAAAACAAAAACATTAAATTATTATTATTACTACATAAATTTTTTAATTTGCATAATATTTTATAAATATTATTTCTATTATCATCTAATTTATATTTTGATTATTAATTGATTTTGTAAATTTTTATTTATTTCTAAATAAAAATATTGAAAAAGTAGTAATTTTAAATAAAAACTTTTGAAAAGCTGTTTAAACAAAGTCAAAAGTTGTCATAGCCTCTGTAATGTGATTGGTGGATCTGTGTAATATTTTTTATATATATTCAAAAATAAATTAATATAAATATAAATATAAATTTTATGTTTAATTAATTTTAACAAATTTTTCATTAAAAACTAATTTCTTTCCCGAATGAGTTAAAATTATATGATGCGCACGCACTTTAGTGTAAGAAAATGTGTGGTCGGGTTTCATACTATTTTTTTTTTTTTTTTTTTCTGTGTAAGAGTATTTTAAGAATAATGTGGACTCCATAAAATAAAATAATTTAGCAACTGATCACGTGTCGAATAGTAATGGATAGAGTTGGAACTAAAAGAAGTATCATAAAAGTTTTACTGACATTCATTTTTTTAGTTCAACGATAAGAAAGGTAGAAGAATTTGAACCTCTATTCTTTTGGTTGAGGGCATATGCTTTAACGACGTTGACATCTTGTGGCACCTAAATAAAAGAAAGGTATGTGAATAAATCGAGATCATATCCGAATGAGAGGGATCCTGAGGATAGGTTTAAAAGAATTGAAAGTTATTACCTATACAAACAAGGTATACCTGCCTTTTAACGACTCAATCATAGAAAATGGTTAAGCGTGGTTTACTTGAAGCAATCCTATGTTAGGTGACCTCCTGAGAATTTTCGTGCGAGAATGACTCATATTGGTTGTAGGGATAAACTTCAACCAATAGCGGGGAAGTTGGTTGTAGGGATAAACTTCCGGTTCAGTAGTTCAGGGAATAGCGGGGAAGGAGCTTGACCTTGTGAGAAAGAACGAAAGAAGCCGAACCGAGTTTACTGGTCAATCAGGGAGAATTAGTACACTGAAAGAATAGGAAAAGAAGTTATGAATCTTGATCCAAATCCTGAATATAAATTAACAATCAACAATAAGTGGATATAAATTAGGTAATTCTCTCGCAAAAAAACATAAAATTGATTAAATCTTATTAGGTTTTACGTTTCTTATTTTTATGAATGTGACAAAAAAAAAATTACTTTTTTAGGACCATTCTCTCTCCTATAATATTATGGAACTAAAGTAGGGTGAGACATTTAATTCAAGTAGTCTTAGATAATAATTTTAAGGCGGGCCCTACATCGACTGTTGTTACTATTTCTATTAAAATGTGTCCTATTAGAAATATAATACATTAATAAATGTTACAACAAAATATTTCTATTTAAGTAATAACATATAATATAACAAATATATATGATTCCAGAATTTGTAGGCAAAAGTAGATAAAAATATAATAAAACTTAGACTAAATATATATTTTAGCATTTTTCCAATTTAATTATTGTTTAAAAATTTTAAATTTAATATTTCAGATTTTTATAATAAATTTAAGGAGAAAAAAATATTATCTAAAATAATGAAATTATAAATTCCTACCAAAGTTGATCAAGTTTTGGAGGAAATAAAAATTTCATTTTTTTTATCTAACAAAATTTAATATTAAAAAATATTCATCCCTAAAATTTTAAAACATATTCACACAATATTTTTCTGACATAAAATTATTATTATTATTTAACTAATTTCATTAAATTTAATTTCAACTAAGTATAAGTAGTAATCTTAAATATTTGAGAGCAATAACTGAAATATTTGGTTCAATATCATATTTTTTATAATTACAGAAAAATATAAAAGTAAAAATATAATCTAGTAATGGAACTCATAATATAAATATATATATATATATATATATGATAATTTTATTTCCAAATAAATTTATTTAAATCAAGAAAATCTTGAATGCTATGATAATTTTAAAGTAGAACTAAAATATTTGATCATAATTTCTAAAAGTTTATATTATTAAATTTATATATTATAAAATATAGTCTCAATTGTAACACATCTCCAACTCCATTTTAACTTAACAAAACCAAACCCTCTCATCTCCTTCACCATCGAGCCAAATTTTATATTATAGATAGATAAAATAATATAAAAAAAAATCTATGATCCGACAAAACAACAATTACCAAACACTACAAATATGGAAATAAACCCAAATTTACTTTTTTCATCAAGGTTACTGCAGAGCTTGAATTAGAAAAAAAAAAGGCCAAAGTATCGAGTAGTTTTTGAGCCAAGAACAAATGTAAATACATTAGGGTCATAATATATTACCATAGCAGCAACAAATTACACCTACCAATCTCGTTTTTACTCCCCACTCGAAAGTGGTTTTCGCACCAGGAAGAAGTACATAGGTGTCATCACCTCTTTCCTGCTCAGACATAAAAATTATAATCACCACCCTGCCCCAATTCTACATGTTTTAAACGCAAAATGAAAGTTTATTGTGTTCCTGAGTGCCAGTGTTGAGGTTTCTCATGAAAACTGTAACAAATTATAGCTCAAAAGAAGACCCAACAAAGAATAGATCATACTTACTTTCCACCTTCAACCAGCCCTTGGGCTGCCTGCTCCAAAAAATTTTGAACTCTTTCACTACCCTTAGGGGCGAGGCGGATGTACTCCAATGCTCTAACCTAAAGAACGAACAGTTCAGCAGCATGTCAACTTCTTCCATATCCATACTCAATATTATAAAAAAGAACCATATATTTTGATTCCGCTTACCATATATTTTGTCACGCAACGCCCTATTGCTGTAGCGCGGAAGTTGGTGATTGAGAACTGACCGCCATCTAAAGGTAAGTACCAAGGAACGGGTGAATCTTCAGCAAGATCTTTTCCCCAGATGACCTGAGCAGAGTGCAGAGTATTAGCTCATGTATCTGCTACTACATTATGCTCATGGAAAAGGAAAGAAAAAACAAAGAAAAAGTCTTCCAATCAACCTCGAAACCTGCTTCTTTCAAAGCTTCCAGGCATTTTCCTATCGTCTTGATATCTGGAAGCCCACTGCCAATCTCAATTTCAGCCTATGGAACACAGACATTGTCAATACAAGTGTATAAAATCAGAGGAAATGGGGGACAGAATCAACAAGATAACCTTTATTCTTTGGTGATCTTGGTTATTGGGATTGAACGAGTTGGTCAAACACCATTCATAAGCAGCAAAATGTTGGCCAGGCTTAAGTACTCTGTAGATCTCCTTGAAGCAGCCATACTGCAAGAGGGGAAACAGCAGTCATTTCAAAAGAATGATTGCTCTAGTCACAAACTTCAGAAATGTAATAAGGACCTACCGCATCTGGTGCATGACAAGTGGCTTCGATTGCATATATTGCATCAAATGTATTATCCTCAAACGGCATTTTCATAAAGTCGCCCTGCAGAATGGACAAGAATTGAATAATGTAATCCAATATGACGAGTTAAAAAGATGGACAAGACTCAAAAGTTCATATTAGGTAAAGATGTAGTCCCCAGATGGGTCATCCTATTCGCTCCAACAGACCAAGTCGGGTGAAAAAAGATTATATATGGTCTCATATATATCCCTTCTCAGCTTTGGCTTGGTTTGAGTCTGAGATATGAAGTTCCGTTAAGAATAATGGGCCTTTAGTGGAGTAATGCTTGATCATTCCATGTTCAAGGAATGAAAAGGAAACTACTATCAATATACTTTCAAATGTTAAAACTAGAACCTAAGGACTTCTAAAGTCGTGAAAATTCCAATGCATCAGCCCTTTCTATCATCATTAAGCATGCGTGTGGATCTTATGGCAATGATCATGCGTTTCAACTCTTCAACTTATCAACAAAAAACTAGTGACAGGGGCCATTCATAAGCTTGAATAGAAGTATAGAGATCAATTAAGAAGTATAAACAACAAATATAATAAGAGCGTACAAATACAAAGGTACTATTTAACTAACTGACGAGACAAAAGAATCCATACAAAAGCTGAATTAACACCACCAACCTTGACAAAGTTGCAAGTCTTATCCAATTTTGCAATGCGATTCAGTTCCTGTGGAATAACAGAAGACTATGACTATTGAAAGGATTACTATTTCAGATAAGAACATGGCACAAAAATAATTAAAAAAAAAAACATCATAATGACAGTAAAAAGCCAAAGTAAAAGACAGATGGGAAAATAATGAGTTCGAGAGACAAAAAGTACACAGTCGCTAGCAAAAGAATTGCCAAGAACGTCTCTGCCGAGTGTCTTGTAAAAGGAATGGAACACGTACCTCTCCTCTAGTAATCTGATAGCTATTGTTGTTCAGCCCAGTAATTGAAGTATAGCTGTGACAGATTTACATAGAATATGAGATGCTGAAAAGGCCAAAACAAAGTTGCCAACTTAAAGCAAGACATAAGTCGTTAATTTCAATGCAAAACCAAAATATATAATTGAGATGATCCTATTATTATCCTAACCATCATTAATCAAACGAAGTTTGAGATGGCAAATTGAAACAACCTGAGGAAAAGATCTATTCAAAATAAACATTCTTGCCATTTCCTAACAGAAGTCTTAAATAATTCTCTGCCATTACTTGAAATTCCTACACATATTTTGGGGACATTTTCCAGGTGTACTTTTCCTTACTTCTAAGCCACCAAAAACTATCTTTCTCATAGATGCTCATTAAAACTTAATACCACAAGGAGTCCTATTCAAGTAAGATCTTCAGTAAGTGACTTGACTATGTTTTCTAAAATTTTCGATCATTAATCTACCTTTCTGTATAGGTTGAACCACTTTATTTGACCAAACAAGAAGAATTCTAGTTCCATCTTTCATTGTCACCCATAGGAAAATTTTCAGCTTTTTTTATAGGTCGAAGTAGAACATGATGCTGTCTAGGCTTAAGATCAATCTGGGAAAACAATTAATCTCAAGCATATTCAACACGAAGTCAAAAGATTATCTTTGTTAAGGCATTTCACCCTGTTACTATTCTCCCAGAGATAATTTTTTTTTGAAAAATTGGTAAGGTGAACGAGAAATTGCATGCAATCATGGAGTTGATAAACCCATTGAACTTAACTCTAGAGAGGAAACTCAGCAAAACAAAGGGGCGATAGACTAGTGTTTTAAGGGGTGAAAGAAGGCAGGGACAAGACTTATTTTCTTCTAAATCGTCATTTTCCTTTCATTTTTCTATTTTCTAACACGAGTGTAGTTGACTTTCATCCACTAATTCAAAGAAATTTCAACAGAGTTAGTATAAATGTTGTTAGAAGTTGCTGGAGCCAAAACATACCATTTTCCCCTGTTCTTCCAATAGAATTTTCCAATGGAAAGTAAAATTCTTGAAGGCTCAAGAGAGCGACTTCACCAGGACTAAATTTGAAAATCTACTAGAATAGAGTATGACAGAGACCTTTCATAAGTCTACTCCTAGTAAGAGCCATAACATACTATTTCAACTAAAGGTACAACGTGCAGACAAGGATCAATCCATATATATTGCGAGGGAGGTTACAAGTATGAAAACTCTTTATTTAACAAAAGGACTAAAAATATCAAAAGATAGATATACATTCATGTAATCTACAACCATTAATTGATGAGAGCCATACAACTAAAGAGCACCTGAATCTTGCAATCTCTCTCAGTGGGCCGCCTATACCACATCCAACATCCAAAACCTGGTGCAAAACAAAGCTATGTTTTGATAACATGCGAATGATGAAGTAAAATTTCTGCCTTTGAATTTTATTAAAGAAGACAAACCTTCTGTCCAGGCTTCAAACCCAACTGTAAAGCAAGGAAGTGCTCGTGCCTCTTAATGCTCTCCCGAAAAGACTCACCAGTCAATCTACAAGCTTGGAAGATAAGCTCATTTATATTATTTTAGCAGCACTTAGGATAAAAGCACAAAAGCAATCATAATATGTGAAAACATTATTGTGGAGTGGTGTCTGAAAAGTTGGTCTTCCATGACCATTCATTGGCCATTAACATGGTCAATTGGCAAAAATCATTCCTTGACCGTTCGATAGCTATTCTCTTATATACACCATCTAAACTAGAAGGAAAAGAACAGAAAAAGGGGAAAAGACTGCCAAATACTCTTGCGGAGGGAATGTTTTCATTCCTACAACATTAGTTTCGTATGATCATGATCTTCATAAAACTTGACTGCAAATTATGTCTAGTTCGATAACATTTCTGTTTCTGTTCCCACTTGCTATTTTAAGTTCTTGGAAAAACTAATTAACAATGAAAATTTGACGGCTATTGATTTTTCTGAAAACAAAAAATAAAAAACTCTTCTCCCTCTTTGGTGCATTTCTCTCTCTAGTTGTCAAATGGTCAAAATCATCATGGTGGGCCATACGGAGATACGTATTAGTCTCTTGAAAAACATATGCATGGTAACTAATATATCTATTTCTCATTTTTCAATGTCAACAAGTTTCAAAATCTAGTTTCATATTTAATTAGATCATGAGTTAAGAACATTTAAGATGGTACCATTTTATTCGTGTATTTTAAAAAGTTTTGAGTATAGATTTTAATTTGTGTCTATTTAGTTTAAATATTTTTAATAAGTTTGAATAGATCCGTGAACTTCCACAAACTTTTAATTTCATGTCTAATCCGTTTTATGCTACATCCATGCTTAAAAAAAATTAAGTTTTTAGAAAAGCATAACTAAAAATATTATTTTATTGTCTTTTATTAGTAAAATGCATAAATAAATAAAGAAAATTCTGAATACAACATAATAATTTAGATTATTTTAGTAAAAAGTACATTTTTTCAATCGTTGAGGTTTGAAGTTGGTGTCTTTTTATAGTCCTTGAGGTTTTAAAGTAAATACTTTAGTCAATCCAATTTGAGAAATAGTTTATTTTTAGACAAATATTTTCGGTATAAAATTATAATAACATAAGATTAGAGAACTAAGACTGAAGAATCATTAAGAAACACTTTTTTACAAAGCTTTTCACCTAAGAAAAATGAAAAGGAAGAAAGAAACAACAAAAAAGTACTAAATATTCTTTTTTTTCTAAAAAAGAGATATAAAGAAACAATAACATAAAGTTAGAAATAAGAAACAAAATGTTCCCAAACCAACCATTTTAAGTGCATTATTAGTAGAAATTGTGAAATTCTGAGCTGTGTTAATAATGTAAGAGAGGAGGAAGATGATGTATATCGTACCTAGGAGCAAAATGGAAGCACTCTCCCCAACCGAACTCATAAAAGCTGGTCACTAAATCATAGTATTTATTGACCTAAAAATACAGATTAAAGACACAATTTTGGTTAGATTCAGAAAATAGAGATGGCGAAGAAGAAAAGGAAACTGATCGCCTCTTACCATGTCGGTGTAGTTGGCTTCTCTCTCCTCCTTTTCGCCCCCATAGAAGCCATGATATTTCTCGTACCTGGTTCATCAAAAGCAAACCCTAATTAGACAACATTATTCATGCAACGTCATAAACTAAATTCGAAAACTTGGTTGGAAAAATGTCAATTATTGTAATTATAATAATAAGGGTATGAATTTAAACTTTTAAAGTTGTTAACTTTTAGAGAATTTTTAGTGACTCCAAAATATAAGAAGAGCTCATCTAGCTATAAGTGTAATATATATATATATATACACACACATAATATTGTTATTTTATTATATGGTCGCCCCTATATTTTCATTTATTCATTATATGAATATATTAATTACAAAATGAATTTTCATGTTAAACAGTGGTTTAAAAAAATAATCATTGAGGGAACCAGAAATACAGAATGATATCCTAACACATCATTGTTTCTTGTTTCAATAGAAAACGTAAATAAATAAAAAGCCATAAAGTATAAATTTGTTTTGTTCTTTAAGAAATAAATAATAATAATAATAGTAATAATAATATTGACATTATGAAATGGCCCATCAATTCAAACGCCATTAATCTTGACATATGTCTTATATTAAGCAAAATATATTCAGATTATTAACTTATTAAAACATATTAATAATGGCACCCTTCATTAATTAAACCTTTATTTTATCACATTTGTTCTCATTAAAGTGCGAAAATAATAGTAATTTTAATATAAATAAAATATTATTTGAGTAAAATTCGGAAAAACAAAATACACAAATAATTTGAGTAAAATTGAAAGTTCCATCTGCACTGTTCATCCACTAAAAAGATGCGGTTGAAATAAATAAAGAAGATCTACAAAAGAAAAGGCATTATATTATTATTATTATTTTATTTCTTTCTGATTTCCCTAATCCCTATGATCCAATTAGGTTTCAGTTTCCCCAATTTTTTAAAACAAACAGACCTAACTAAACCGGAAGAAAGAGCGCTGAAAGGCTTGGGAGAGGATGATACACGGAGAAAGTAACTGTAAACTCAGAGAGAACTAAGAGAGAGAGAGAGAGAGAGAGAGTACTTTTCAACGGCGCATATGACATCGGCTTTGCTCATCTTCCCGCCGACACCTGAGGCAAGATCGAACGCTCCGTCCTTCGACATCTCAAGCAGCAACCTGAAAATAAAAAAACGAGAACACAGTCAAGAAAATTGCGAGTTAGGAGTTAGGGTTCCGATGAAAAGGATGAAGCACATTACGCGAAAAACAGAGAGAGAGAGAGAGAGAGAGAGAGGGAAAAGAATCGGACAAGGGTTTTGCAGAGAGAGCGGGAGAAGAAGAAGAAGAAGAAGAAGGACGCCGCTGAGTTGCAGAGACGAAATGGAAATAATGCTCAGTTTCTCTCTCTAAGGGATTCTGTCTCAGTGACGACTAATGAGAGAGAGATTTTTTTCTTTTTTTTTGGTATGACAGACATGCAAGAATTGACAGCCTCTCCTTTTCTATCTCCTTTTTTTTTTTGCCCTATTGATTTGATTAATATTTTTTCTATTTTATATTAATTTTTAAATATATTCCAATTTAAACCAATCCCTATAAAATTTCAACATCCCTCTAATCTCTTCTAGAAAAAATGTTGATTAATTGATTTAGAAAAAAAAATATGTCTGTCTCATTTAAGACGTAAAATTAAATTATATGAACGCCAAGTTTCTGAGATTGCGACCGTAAATAAAGATGGTAGACTATCTTCGAAAATATAAAATTAATTTTATTTTTGTATTTAATAAGTGTCTAATATATTCTTCAATAATCAAAATAAAACAAACCGAGTAAAAATAATTAATTCAATTCAAATAAAATTAAAAGGTTAGAGATGTAATTAATGGTTTTTTTTTTAATTTTAAGATTGATGTAGCTAGACTATGTGAATAAGAGGGGTATTATTTAAAAAAAATAATATACACAGCTGTCAAAGTTAATTTAAAAATAGGATTAAAATGAAATTAGAAAAGAGAGGGGGAATGGGAGGGAGTGATGTGGACAGGGCAGTAGGGGGTCCAACTTCCACCTTTTACTTTTTACAGTCACAGTCACATGCCAGACTGTTCAAACCAGTGTGGGACCAGTGTTTTTCATCCCCTCTACTTAGTCCCACTGAATTATTTCGGTTTAATTATTCCAATATTAAATGTTAATGTAATTCAAATTCAACGCTAATTATTAATCATCATCATTTTTGGGTTGAATTTTCAAAATTGGTTATAAATTTCACCAAATTTTGAATTTTTAATCGTGGGCACATTCAAACGAAAATTTCAGACATTGGATGGTACGACATACAGAGTCGGACAGCCGACCAGTTAGCCTAAGGAGGCAAAAATATATGCGACGGAGTAGCGGTAGGGTAATGCCAGTTTGGTTGGAAGAGCTAATGGTCATGTCACTTGGCTGTTGAGGGCCATGTGCCTCGTCTTATTCCAATTTTTCAGGTTAAATTGGAATATGCATTAACTTCAGGTTAAATTTCAGATCAATAGCTAAATTTGTTAATACAACAATGATCAAAGATATAGTAAATAAACGATACCAATTGAATGCAACTCGTATAAAAACTTGCTCGACCCTACAATATCTAGACGCCAAAAATAAGCAGTAGGACATTGAATCTAAGTGGTTGCCATTGATTGAATTCACTCCCTCTAAATTCCTTATTATACCCATGACACCCTTACGACTAATCTCACGAGATAACCCACTTGACCCATACAACATCTAGACCCCAAAAACACGAGTAAGATGTTAAATCTAAGTGGTCACCATTGATTGAATTCACTCCCTCTAAACTCCTTGTTATACCCATGACCCTTACGACTAATCTCACGAGACAACCCACCTGACCCATATAACATCTAGACACCAAAAGCACGAGTAAGATGTTAAATCTAAGTGGCCACCATTGAATTGAGTCCACTCACTTTAAACTCACTATTATAGGACACTTATGGGCAATTTTTAATATATTTCAAAAGAGGAACAATAGAATTTGGGAGGTACCATAGCGGGCAGAAAAATTGCTCAGATAAGAGAAAAAAGAACGATAGAAAGCCATGTAAGATAAACAGCTCGTTGGCGCCTTCCTGCTGAATAAAGGAACTTCAATTGCACTTTTAAGAGGCAGCCATAGTTAAGAAGAGATGCTTGTGAAACTATAATGCCACATACCACATGCTTACAGACCCCTGCAACAAATCAGATGATAAAGTTGAAGTTAGAAGAAAGTTACAAGGACATCAGAGGGAAAACCCAAAAGCAAAAACCACACTTTTCTCGAAATGATCTTCTCGTTACATTCGTTTATTCTTTTAAGTTAACCCAAGCCTTTTTTTTTTCCTCGTTCAATCATGTGAATAATGAATAATTCTCTGTCCAAGTTTAGTCCAAATCAATTTCTTTTCCCGACTCGAGAAAATAAGAAGCTGCTTAATTAAAAGGAGAAGTAAAACTCCAAGTAGCGCTTGAAAGATACAGCTTCTTTGAGCTAAAGATGCTAGGCAATAATTTATTTTTAAAAACTATTTAAAGATACTAAATAATTCTTCTAAGATATCCTGAAAAAGTCTAGAAATCCCTGGTTCTATTCTCTTTAAACTGAATAAAATCTTAGCCAGGCATGTGAGATTCTGCATAAGCATAATAATATTGGTTAGTTTCTTGTGGCAAGTTGGAGTATGAGAATTTTTTCATTATGGCTTGAATTACTAAACACTTTTGCAATTATCCTTGATTCATATTTCTCTTGATTGGAGGTCCTTTTAGTAGTTTGCCTCCCTTTTTTGTATGATCCCGAATTCTTTCAATTCTTCTAAATGAAAGCTGGGTTATTCATAAATTAGTTCAAAAAAAAACTTTTGAAAGAAACGTATTGGCTTTGTTTTCGAACAGATGATCTTAAAGGATTTGCTGGATGAAGTCTTTGATAATGTCAAGGGAGGTCGGTCATCAATAATCTTCTGAACAAATCCAAAGAACTGAATTGATAAGAACAGATAACTTGATCTTGTTCTCTTTAATGATCGCCAGTATTGCCAACTCAACAATTCCTAAAAGAATCTCAACAGAATACATGAACATATTCGATGGTATCTTTCCTTCAGCATTTTACTCTACTCTGAATCATAGATATTGTGCTAGCAATAGATTGCTGATGGTTTGGGCACGAAATGAAATTTTCTTACAGTTCTACAGGCAGAAACGTGTTGCATTTGATTGTTCTAAATACACATTTCAAGTACTAAGCAATCCCTAGTCGCTAAAACTAGGCAAGCAACTTATAAACAAAGCTAGAAGAACCGTATGATCAGGCCACTAAGCAAAATCCATTCGAACACTTGCAACATAGCGCAATATATTATTGTAGAACGAAAGGATTTACAAATACCTGACTTTCTTTATAAGGATGGCTTTGAGCTTGCGAGCGAGGTCCTGCGATCGAATTTTGCGCTCCAAATTCTTTCTGGCCAAAACACGTTTCTCAGAATTCTTGATATGATGAGTCTGTTCACGCTTAATCAGCCGCTCAATTCCGCTCGATTGCATCTTCCTTTGCAAAAATGTGAGTGCCCGCTCCAGATTTCCATTCAGTACCTTCACTCTGATCCCCCTCCATTGCTGCTGCTGATAGTGAAGGTGTTTCAGGCAATTGGTGTGCATCGAAGATCTGATGGAGCATGATAGGTTTCGCGACAACGAATTCATTACTAGAGTTCAACCACTCGGTTTGTCGTTCTTACAGCAGGTGGAGTGGGCTCTGTCGGCGGCGATAAGCAACAGTGAAGGGACGGCGACGGTAGCTGCGGTTAGAGAGTCGAAACTTGGGATGAAGAAAAGAGACGAAGGAAGACGGAGGGAAGGGAAGAGAAACGACGGCGAGAAAGAAAGTGATGGAGGAGATAGATTTAGGGTTAGAAATTAATTTAATAATTAAAAAAAAATTAGTAACTTTCAATTTGATTACACCATTAATTAATTATATATTTTTAAAATTTAGAAACTTATTAATTAAAAAAAAATTAAAATTAAACAAATAAAAAAATAATTTCGTTTGTGCATAGTAGTATCATAATCTACCGGCAAGCCAGGTAAGGGCTAAGATAGAAGAGTGTAATAATACGACCGTGACACATGGCTCACAAAAAAATTGACGTTAACATATAATAAATTATTTATTTAATAAATATGTATTTTTTTCATTACATATTCTCTTTAGATCGAGTGTGCACGTTGTTATGCGATCCTAACATACACCTCTTCAATTTACATACAAGAATTGATTTTATAGGTGTGAAAAACGAATCAAACATATATGAATTTTCGATGTGTATTACACGTGGTACGAAAGGGATGGAGAATGATCTCTAAAGCTGAAATCTTACTATTCCCTCTACATTATTAGAGAGAAATATACAAGCTTATAAATATTTATGACCAACATTCAAACTAAGATCATGGATACAATGAAATAATCCATAATTGCAAATGGTTCATGGAACACATCTAGCCTCATCAAAGGTTTTTAATTACATTAAGCAGCCGTTGCAACGTCTACGAGTATTTCGATACCAAACCCGGGGCGTGGTAGCAGCAGCCATGGAAACAATATCTCTAATACGTAGGAACAACACGAACATCATCGAGCACGGGGCCACAAAGGGATCCGAAGTCGTCTGTTCTGGTGTGGTAGTATGAACTGAAGAATGTGATTCTGGTTCTAGGCGAGATTGCTTTGAACTTTAGAATGGCAGTTTTGTAAAGCCCTTTTCCTTGAGATTGGAAGGGAACTTTGACAGTATCTTTAGCAGCAAATGCTTCCACCATCATTGATCCATGGCATCCGTTCTTGGCGTCACCGACCTTGAACGTTAGCGAGTATAGCTTGTTAGGGATGGTTCTGATGATTTGAGCCACCGCGCTTTCTCTCCCTGCAACGAGCTCGACCGCTGCAAGTCCAACGGGAACGTTGAAATGCTTTGAATCAATGAACTTTACAGCCTTGAGTGACTCTATGATCCAGCCTGGGAGTGGAGATGTAAGGTCTTCTTGTCTTGGAGGAAGAAGAACTCCGTTGGTCGAGTTTACTAACCGATGAGGACCAACCTCGAAGCTTGGGTTCCTAACCAAGTTATCTGCAAGATTACCATTAACAAACATCGAGATTAAGCAGCGAACCAAATTCACAAGATCGTTATCAAATGACCAGAGTTTTTAGATCTCGAAAAGGCAGACAAGTGTGTTGGGATACGGGCGATGTTTTTACCTCTTGTTGGGACTGGACGAATAAGCTCTTTGATGGCAACGGCGTCCAACAGAGGTCCACAAGCGGGATCTTCCTGAACTCCGGGATTGTGGAACGTCACCTTAACAGAATCCGACGAAGCTACAAATCCGAAGGCGTAAACATCGCCTCCATCACTGCTGTAAAGAGTCTGCAGAGGCAAACTTCCATTCTGGGGAGGTACCAACACAGACAAGACTTCATCTTGTGCACATGTTCTTGAAGCTCCAAAAGTTAGAGCATAAAGAGACCCTTTTTTCACTTTTATGATCTGAGAGATCGACGCTTCGTTGCCGAGCCTTACGGCATGGACGCCGTGAGCAACGGGGAAGAACATTCCGCCGGGTTGAGGGCCACCTGAGATGTACTCAACAAAGCCATTGATCTCCCAGCTTGGCAGAGAGTCTTTGCCTACTATTACTGTTTTCTTTAAGTTAGTTTTTAATGGTGGTTCCTCGAAGTTCCCATTTGCTAGAAGTCCTGTGTGAGCAAAGAAGCAACGTTCAATATCAAGAAATGCTCTAAGAGGGAGGCAGAAAGTTAAAGATCCAACTCCCAATGATACAATACAACTATCGATTGACATATAACAGGCCAAGCACACTGCTAGAAGATATTGTCTTCTTCAAGGTTTTAAAACACGCTCACTAAATAGAGATTTCCACACCCTTCTCTAAAGAATGCTCGTTTCTCTCTGGATCTCACAATACACCCCTTTGGGAGCCAGCGTCCTCGCTGATACACCGCCCGATGTCTAGCTCTGATACCATTTGTAACAGCTCAAGCCCACCGCTAGTAGATATTGTCCGTTTTGGCCAATTACATATCACCGTCATCCTCACGGTTTGAAAACACGTCTGCTAGGGAAAGGTTTCCCTTTCAGACTCCACCCTTACACTGACCAATGTCTAGTTCAGATACCATTTGTAACCGTCCAAGCCCAGCGCTAGCAGATATTTGGCCCGTTACATATCACTGTCAACCTCACAGTTTTAAAACACATTTGCTAGGGAGAGAGGCTTCACACCTTTATAAGAAATACTTCGTTCCCCTCTCCAATCAATGTGAGATCTCACAATCCACCGACTAATGTACCCCATTGGGGGCCCAACATCCCCACTGGCACACCGCTTTAATACCATTTGTAACAACCCAATCCAAGAAGTAAAAGCTCAAAGAGGATAATATTTACTAGCGGTGAGCTTAGGCTATTACATTGTATTTACAAATCTTCTTCTTTTCTAGCAAATGTAGACATTCTTAGCATCCCTAACACCAAATACAAAGCCTCAAACTGGTTTGGAGAGTAAAACAAACTCTATAAGGGGCAGATCTAAATGGATTTCAACAGTAAAAGGTAGGAACTCAAAAAATGTAAGTTGCAGAACAAAAAAACAGCAGGATTTCATCACTAAAACCAGTACAAAACATTCATTATAGCAAACCAGAAAGCTAAAACTACACATTACTACAATAAATCCAACGAACAAGATCCAAAACAGTACCAACAACAAAAGAGAGAAGCCCACAAACAAACATCAGTTCATCTTGCAGCTAAACAACAAACCCACAAAAAAGATAGCCAAATTACAAAACTAAGCAAAAGGGGTTTTGAAAATAAGCATTATACCTTCCAAAATCGACCCTGCGAAGGCTGAAGAAGCCAATAGCAAGAAGAATGCTAGCAATGGCAGTGATGAACACGAAAGAGAAGCCATTTTTGGGCGTTTGAGAAGGGGAAAAGGGTATGAATGGATGGGAAAGGAAGTGGGATTATGAGATTGTATTTATAGTGAGGGAAAAATGATTAAAGCACGAAGACGCGAGGAAAGAGAAGGAGATTAGTAGAGAAATCCGCGTTTAAGTGAGGTGTAATCTGAAACATTGTTTGTGTATCTGTCTGCTTGTTTCCATTTAGGACCGATTTTTTCTCCATGATTCGTGGTCTTCAAGGTGGCAAACTTGTCATTTCACTTTCTTCTCAAAAATCATTTTTGTTTTTTTGTTAATTTTTTTTTTTTTACTTTAAAGATAGTGTATAATCGAGGATATCGATAATTTAGTAAATAGTCATTGAACAATAAATGGTAGGAGCTCGAGTTCAATTATGAACTTATTTAAATAAAATTTTACCGATTAAATTGATTTATGAATTCGAAATTCAATTTTAAATGTTTTGTGTTAAATATGTTGTTATTTTTACATCTTATTATTTTAAAATTGAACGCTTTGCTTCAAATATTTGATGAAATTAAAAAATTCAAATAATTGGGAGTTTTTTATTTTTATTTATTTTATTTGACGTTTTAAATTTATTTGTAATTAATGGTTTCGGTTGAGGAAACAAGAAATAGAAGTGGCTGGAATTAATTAATCTTTCTTCGATCTGATGAATTTAATTAATTAAATAAATAAATAATAATTTGAATATATGTCAGATGCTGTCTCTCAATGCAATTTAATTTAATTTATGAGAAATAAAAAATCACATTATCTATAAATACAACGAAATTTCCTGCCCACTTCATCAACTTATTAAAGGCAGGAAAATTATTGTTTTTTTTTTTTTTTTGGCATAATTTGCATAAATTAATATTTATATACTATTTAAATATTTTAAATTAACGAATATATTGCTACGAGTGCACTTTATAGCCTATTGATATGATATTGATAGTTCGAAACTCGATCATGTCATCGCGTGAAACCAAATTTGCATTTGGTTAATGTATACCGAATAATCAATAGGCTAAACCGATTTATTCGTTGATGAATTTCATCTACTATTAGTTTTACTTAGTTGTTAAATTGGTGCTTCCATTTGAGAAGTTGTTTTCAATCTAAAATAATTGAAGATAGCGGTTTCTGTAAGTTTTATCGACACAGTGGAATTCATGACCTGTCGGACCAATAATATGATTTTTATCAATCATTACCAAACTCAATTGGAGATATTGTGAGCGAGCATAGGTATTTGTCTCCTGTGACCATAATGCCAAGAGAAATGGTCGAGAGAAGAGGTATTGTTTAAGGGATACTTGAGATAATGTCAATATCGTCCTACCAAAAATGATTTGTATTTTTTTCGGTTACATCTCAAATATCAATCGACTTATTAATAATTAAAAAAAACATAATTAATCATTTTAAAAATAAAAGTGTAAAGAAATGTGAGAAAAAAAAAAAAAAAAAGGCAATTCCATCTTATTCCCAGCATACCCCACGCGGTTTAAAAAAAAAATATTATTTTTTATGTTTTAATTTTTTTTGTGCGTAATTAATTGGTTACAAACCATCTTATTTAAAATAAAAAAAAATAAAAAAAACATAAATAGAACACTAATTTGATTGGGAAAGAATGAATACAGGAGGGTAAAATTGGGATTTTATTCCCCATTTTTTTTAAATGTAATTATTAAATTTGAAAATAAAAATACAATATAATAATAATAATAATAATAATAATAATAATAAGTTTTAAGAATGCGTAGGTTATCAAATAATCGATACTAACATGCGCCAGCTAAAGTTTCGCTTTACCCGGTTCAGATTCCACATGCGCATTGTCGACTTGTCGTG